AAAGCAGAACTTCCCCTTCTGGCTGGGGATCCACTTTAACTTAACATGGACACTCACTACAGATCACAACTGCAGTGCATTCTGAACACGCTGCGGGAAACGCACATGGATCGCGGGTTTCATGGGCAGCCCAAGAACTCATTCTCATGGGCAGAAAAAAAGTGCTGCGTTTAGAATACAGCAGATATTATTATTATATAGTGCCGTCAATTTACGCAGTGATATATATATATCCCTCAGCCCAGGTTCTCACTGATGCAGTGCCGAATTTGCAGCGGTTTCTGTGCGAATGTCACACTGCATCACAATCGCACCCCATTCATGTGAACCGCTGCGGGTGTGTATGTTAAAAACACCCTGAAATTGGTCCGAAAAACACGGTGCGATGTGCAGAATCGGACTGCATGGGTGTGAATACCCATGTGATCTGATTCTAGAACAGACCAAAGGTCCTGCACCTTTTTGGTGCGGACGCGGTGCGATTGAGCCAATGCATAGCTCAAATCGCACCGCACAGAATTTGAATGTGATTGTGACTGTGGTACGCTTCCTGTGTGAATCACATGCGATATGCTGTACCGCATCAGAGTGAACTCGGGCTTAAGGTACAATCTAAAGTCCCTGACTCACAGTCATACATACATACACATAGTACGGCCAATTTAGACAGGAGCCAATTCACCTACCAGCATGTCTTTGCAGTGTGCAAGGAAACTGGAGTAGCTGGAGAAAACCCACGCAGGCACAGGGAGAACATGCAAACTCCAGACAGGTGGTGCCGTGGTTGGGATTCAAACCAATGGCCCCCATTCTAGGGCCAATTTAGACAGGAGCCAATTAACCTACCAACATGTCTTTGGAGTGTGGGAGGAAACCGGAGTACCCGGAGGAAACCGGAGTACCCGGAGGAAACCCACACAGGCACAGGGAGAACATGCAAACTCCAGGCAGATGGTGCCATGGCTGGGATTCGAACCAACAACCCTAGTACTGCCAGGAGGAAGCGCTAACCACTTAGCCACTGTGCTGCCCAATAGTTCTGTACTCATCTAAAGGCAGCACAATAGCGGTCACACAGCTGCGTCTACATGCTGCAGATACATGTATAACAGCGACGTCGCAGCTGCAGATTTTACGCACATATGTGTATAACAGCGACGACGCGGCTGCAGATTTTACACACATACGTGTATATCCGCGACGACACGGCTGCAGATTGTACGCACATACATGTATAACCGCGACGACACGGCTGCAGATTTTACTCACATACATAACAGCGATGATGCAGTTGCAGATTTTACGCACATACGTGTATAACCGCAACAACACAGTTGCAGATTTTACGCACATACGTGTATAACCGCAAGGACACACGGCTGCAGATTTTACGCACATACGTGTATAACCGCGACGACGCGGCTGCAGATTTTACGCACATACGTGTATAACCGAAACAACACAGTTGCAGATTTTACGCACATACGTGTATAACCGCAAGGACACGGCTGCAGATTTTACGCACATACGTATATAACAGCGACGACACGGCTGCAGATTTTACTCACATACGTGTATAACCACGACGACGCGGCTGCAGATTTTACTCACATACGTGTATAACCGCGACGACGCAGTTGCAGATTTTACGCACATAGGTGTATAACCGCGACGACGCGGCTGCAGATTTTACGCACATACGTGTATAACCGCGACGACACGGCTGCAGATGTTACACACATACATGTATAACCGCGACGACGCGGCTGCAGATGTTACGCACATACGTGTATAACAGCGACGACGCGGCTGCAGATTTTACGCACATACGTGTATAACCGCGACGACACGGCTGCAGATTTTACGCACATACATGTATAACCGCGACGACACGGCTGCAGATTTTACTCACATACGTGTATAACAGCGACAATGCGGCTGCAGATTTTACGCACATACATGTGTAACCGCAACGACACGGCTGCAGATTTTACTCACATACGTATATAACAGCGACGACGCAGCTGCAGATTTTACGCACATACGTGTATAACCGCGACGACACGGCTGCAGATTTTACGCACATACGTGTATAACCGCGACAACGCGGCCGCAGATTTTACGCACATACGTGTATAACCGCGACGACGCAGCTGCAGATTTTACTCACATACGCGTATAACCACGACTGCAGATTTTACACACATACGTGTATAACCGCGACGACACGGCTGCAGATTTTACGCACATACATGTATAACCGCGACGACACGGCTGCAGATTTTACGCACATACGTGTATAACCGCGACGACACGGCTGCAGATTTTACGCACATACGTGTATAACCGCAACGACACGGCTACAGATTTTACACACATACGTGTATAACCGCGACGACACGGCTGCAGATTTTACGCACATACGTGTACAGGCGCGACACTTTTGGCGAGTATTTTACAAGGGATCTTCTATCTCTACCAGCAAGAAACTTTCTTTTGTACAGAAAATACACATATGTCGGCGTGAATGTGAACCGACGGGCTACATGTGACATTCACCGAAAGGAAATCAATCAGTGTCATCTGAAAGACAAATATAAACAGGATTCACCCGCAGTGAATGTGACATCCATAGTACACATTCGTCATGTCACCCCCGGTGTCCATGTGAGTGCTGAGGACCCCCCACTGTCGGCTGTGATGATGGGACTTGTACATAGTTTACTTTTTATGGCCTCTGTGCACACAGCCCCCCCTCCTCCACTCAGCAGCTGCCGCTCTCCCCCTCCCCCCGCGCTCAGCACACACGGAGGAGAACACTCACCCCGGACACAGGCCACACTGGAGAGGAGTAGAAGGAGCACGTCCAGCGGAGCCCCCATCTTCTTCTTCCCGGACTCTGCTCCGGCTCTCTCACTCAAGCAGCTCCCATGGCCTCGCTCCCCCCTCCTCCAGTCCCGCCTTCCCTTCTCCAGACTGCTCCACGGACTGACGCTGCGATGTGGCGATGGCACAACTCCGCCCCTCCCGCACACCTTACCCAGTCCACGGTGCCCTCCAGTCACAGAACACGCCTCCCCAGACTGTGATTAGCTAACCGCCTGTCGCTCTACCTAAACCACGCCTACTTTACATTGACATTGTAACCGGACCACGCCCCCGTCCCAACTTCAACTACTAGTCCAGAAAGGAAGGTTCCCTCTCCTCCCTGTAGATGTGATGACTCCGTGGGGGAGCTCAGGGCACACGTCTCCTGTTCCCAGCCTGTGAATCCTGTATTCACCAACTGTAGGGGAGAATGCAGAGAGAGCCCAGACTTATCCCACAGTAGAACAATAGGCAAAGCTTTTTTTTTTTTTTTCATTTTGGATACAGCAAGGGAGGGTCACCTGTGTCCCATTGGGGAGATTTTTCTTCACTTCCTGTCCCATAGCCAAACAGGAAGTGAGAGGAAATCCCTGCAAGTTAAGGGCATTCCTTGGGGAGCCCCAGGTCTCCAGAATCGGTGTACCCATTGGAAGATTTCCTTCCATTACTTTTCTGGGGACAAAACCAACATTTGGGATTTTATTTTACTTTCACTTCCAATGTTAGCAGTAAACAGGACAAATAGGGTGGATTTCCCTAACAGGGACACAGACAGCAATAAAAACTGACAAGTATTCTAATCCCTCCACACTCCACATATCCAAAACAAAGAAAGTTTTGCCTTTAAAGTGTTACTAAACCCCGGACCCCGCATTCACTATATCTGGTCTCCTTGGACCCCGCATTCACTATATTCGGTCTCCCAGGACCCTGCATTCACTATATCTGGTCTCCCAGGACCCCGCATTCACTATATCTGGTCTCCCAGGACCCTGCATTCACTATATCTGGTCTCCCCGGACCCCGCATTCACTATATCTGGTCTCCCCGGACCCCGCATTCACTATATCTGGTCTCCTTGGACCCTGCATTCACTATATCTGGTCTTCCCGGACCCCGCATTCACTATATCTGGTCTTCCCGGACCCCGCATTCACTATATCTGGTCTCCTTGGACCCCCCATTCACTATATATGGTCTCCCCGGACCCTGCATTCACTATATCTCGTCTCCTTGGACCCCGCATTCACTATATCTCGTCTCCTTGGACCTCCCATTCACTATATCTGGTCTCCTTGGACCCCGCATTCACTATATCTGGTCTCCCCGGACCCCGCATTCACTATATCTCGTCTCCTTGGACCCTGCATTCACTATATCTGGTCTCCTTGGACCCCCCATTCACTATATGTGGTCTCCCAGGACCCCGCATTCACTATATCTGGTCTCCCGGACCCCGCATTCAGTATATCTGGTCTCCCCGGACCCTGCATTCACTGTATCCGGTCTCCCCAGACCCTGCATTCACTATATCCGGTCTCCCCTGACCCTGCTTTCACTATATCTGGTCTCCCCGGACCCCACATTCACTATATCTGGTCTCCCTGGACCCTGCATTCACTATATCTGGTCTCCTCAGACCCCGCAGTCGCCCTGCCCAGTCTCCCCGGACCCTGCATTCACTATATCTGATCTCCCCTGACCCTGCATTCACTATATCTGGTCTCCCCGGACCCCGCATTCACTATATCTGGTCTCCCTTGGACCCTGAATCCACTATATCTGGTCTCCCCAGACATTGCATTCAATATATCTGGTCTCTGCAGACCCTGCATTCAATATATCCGGTCTTCCCGGACCCTGCATTCACTATATCCGGTCTCCACAGACCCTAAATCTACTATATCTGGTCTCCCTGGACCCTGCATTCACTATATCTGGTCTCCCCGGACCCTGAATCCACTATATCCGGTCTCCCCGGACCCTGCTTTCACTATATCTGGTCTCCCCGGACCCCACATTCACTATATCTGGTCTCCCCGGACCCTGCATTCACTATATCTGGTCTCCTCAGACTCCGCAGTCGCCCTGCCCAGTCTCCCCGGACCCTGCATTCACTATATCTGATCTCCCTGGACCCTGCATTCACTATATCTGGTCTCCCCGGACCCCGCATTCACTATATCTGGTCTCCCCTGGACCCTGAATCCACTATATCTGGTCTCCCCAGACATTGCATTCAATATATCTGGTCTCTGCAGACCCTGCATTCAATATATCCGGTCTTCCCGAACCCTGCATTCATTATATCCGGTCTCCACAGACCCTAAATCTACTATATCTGGTCTCCCTGGACCCTGCATTCACTATATCTGGTCTCCCGGACCCTGAATCCACTATATCTGGTCCCCCGGACCCCGCATTCACTAGATCTGGTCTCCCCAGACCCTACATTCACTATATCTGGTCTCCCAGGACCCTGAATCCACTATATCCGGTCTCCCCGGACCCTGCATTCACTATATCTGGCCTCCCCAGACCCTGCATTCACTATATCCGGTCTCCCAGGACCCTGAATCACACTATACCCGGTCTCCCCGGACCCTGCATTTACTATATCTGGTCTCCCCAGACCCTGTCACATTCACTATATCTGGCCTCCCCGGACCCTGCATTCACTATATCCGGTCTCCCCGGACCCTGCATTCACTATATCCGATCTTCCCGGACCCTGCATTCACTATATCCGTTTTCCCGGACCCTGCATTCACTATATCTGGTCTCCCCGGACCCTGCATTCACTATATCTGGTCTCTCCGGATGCCACAGTCGCCCTGTCTGGTCTCCCAGGACCCTGCATTCAATATATCCAGTCTCCCCGGACCCTGCATTCACTATACCCGGTCTCTGCGGACCCTAAATCCACTATATCTGGTCTCCCCAGACCCTGCATTCACTATATCTGGTCTCCTCGGACCCTGCATTCACTATATCTGGACTCCCTGGACCCTGAATCCACTATATCTGGTCTCTCCGGACCCTGCATTCACTATATCCAGTCTCCCCGGACCCCACATTCACTATATCCTGTTTCCCTGGACCCCGCATTCACTATATCTGGTTTCCCAGGACCCTGAATCCATTATATCGTGGTCTCCCCGGACCCTGCATTCACTATATCTGGTCTCCCCAGACCCTGCATTCACTATATCTGGTCTCCCAGGACCCTGAATCCACTATATCCGGTCTCCCAGGACCCTGAATCCACTATATCCGGTCTCCCCGGACCCTGAATCCTCTATATCCGGTCTCCCCAGACCCTGCATTCACTATATCTGGTCTCCTCAGACCCCGCAGTCGCCCTGCCCAGTCTCCCCGGACCCTGCATTCACTATATCTGATCTCCCCTGACCCTGCATTCACTATATCTGGTCTCCCCGGACCCCGCATTCACTATATCTGGTCTCCCTTGGACCCTGAATCCACTATATCTGGTCTCCCCAGACATTGCATTCAATATATCTGGTCTCTGCAGACCCTGCATTCAATATATCCGGTCTTCCCGGACCCTGCATTCACTATATCCGGTCTCCACAGACCCTAAATCTACTATATCTGGTCTCCCTGGACCCTGCATTCACTATATCTGGTCTCCCCGGACCCTGAATCCACTATATCCGGTCTCCCCGGACCCTGCTTTCACTATATCTGGTCTCCCCGGACCCCACATTCACTATATCTGGTCTCCCCGGACCCTGCATTCACTATATCTGGTCTCCTCAGACCCGCAGTCGCCCTGCCCAGTCTCCCCCCGGACCCTGCATTCACTATATCTGATCTCCCTGGACCCTGCATTCACTATATCTGGTCTCCCCGGACCCCGCATTCACTATATCTGGTCTCCCCTGGACCCTGAATCCACTATATCTGGTCTCCCCAGACATTGCATTCAATATATCTGGTCTCTGCAGACCCTGCATTCAATATATCCGGTCTTCCCGAACCCTGCATTCACTATATCCGGTCTCCACAGACCCTAAATCTACTATATCTGGTCTCCCTGGACCCTGCATTCACTATATCTGGTCTCCCCGGACCCTGAATCCACTATATCTGGTCCCCCGGACCCCGCATTCACTAGATCTGGTCTCCCCAGACCCTACATTCACTATATCTGGTCTCCCAGGACCCTGAATCCACTATATCGGTCTCCCCGGACCCTGCATTCACTATATCAGGCCTCCCCAGACCCTGCATTCACTATATCCGGTCTCCCAGGACCCTGAATCCACTATATCCGGTCTCCCCGGACCCTGCATTTACTATATCTGGTCTCCCCAGACCCTGCATTCACTATATCTGGCCTCCCCGGACCCTGCATCCACTATATCCGGTCTCCCCGGACCCTGCATTCACTATATCCGATCTTCCCGGACCCTGCATTCACTATATCCGGTTTTCCCGGACCCTGCATTCACTATATCTGGTCTCCCCGGACCCTGCATTCACTATATCTGGTCTCTCCGGATGCCACAGTCGCCCTGTCTGGTCTCCCAGGACCCTGCATTCAATATATCCAGTCTCCCCGGACCCTGCATTCACTATACCCGGTCTCTGCGGACCCTAAATCCACTATATCTGGTCTCCCCAGACCCTGCATTCACTATATCTGGTCTCCTCGGACCCTGCATTCACTATATCTGGACTCCCTGGACCCTGAATCCACTATATCTGGTCTCCTCCGGACCCTGCATTCACTATATCCAGTCTCCCCGGACCCCACATTCACTATATCCTGTTTCCCTGGACCCCGCATTCACTATATCTGGTTTCCCAGGACCCTGAATCCATTATATCGTGGTCTCCCCGGACCCTGCATTCACTATATCTGGTCTCCCCAGACCCTGCATTCACTATATCTGGTCTCCCAGGACCCTGAATCCACTATATCCGGTCTCCCAGGACCCTGAATCCACTATATCCGGTCTCCCCGGACCCTGAATCCTCTATATCCGGTCTCCCCAGACCCTGCATTCACTATATCTGGTCTCCCCGGACCCTGCATTCACTATATCTGGTCTCCCCAGACCCTGCATTCACTATATCTGTTCTCCCAGGACCCTGCATTCACTATATCTGTTCTCCCAGGACCCTGAATCCACTATATCTGGTCTCCCCGACCCCGCATTTATTATATCTGGTCTCCCCGGACCCTGCATTCACTATATCTGGTCTCCCACAGTACACACAGCATGGAAATGCAATTATTTAGTAAATATAAACTGCTAAATATATTTACTCATCAGCAGCATATACAGTATCTCACAGAAGTGAGTACACCCCTCACATTTTTGTAAATATTTTATTCTATCTTTTCATGTGACAACACTGAACAAATGACACTTTGCTACAATGTAAAGTAGTGAGTGTACGGCTTGTATAACAGTGTAAATTTGCTGTCCCCTCAGAATAACTCAACACACAGCCATTAATGTCTAAACCGCTGGCAACAAAAGTGAGTACACTTCTAAGTGAAAATGTCCAAATTGGGCCAAAGTGTCAATATTTTGTGTGGCCACCATTATTTTCCAGCACTGTCTTAACCCTCTTGGGCATGGAGTTCACCAGAGCTTCACAGGTTGCCACTGGAGTCCTCTTCCACTCCTCCATGACAACATCATGGAGCTGGTGGATATTAGAGCCCTTGCGCTCCTCCTCCTTCTGTTTGAGGATGCCTCACAGATGCTCAATAGGGTTTAGGTCTGGAGATATGCTTGGCCAGTCCATCACCTTTACTCTCAGCTTCTGGGGGCAAGCTGCACATGTTCAGTTTGGTGTGTATTGCTAGAGAGGTTTTGTTTTTTTTCTTGAGAGCATTCACAGGGCCAATCAGTGCTGTCCAGACAGAGGGTCGGGGTCCTGCAGCCTCATATGGGTTAATAAAAACTCCTCCTACAAGCTTTAACCAGTGCTCTGCTCGACACTAATAGAAGTCACTGCTATATACTACTGAGGAGAAAAGGTATTTAGCAGTTTATATTTACTAAAATAATTGCATTTCCATGTTCTGTGTGTACTGTGGGAGACTTTTTGCAGAAACGCACTACAGTCCATTTAACATGGTTTACTATGCAACATGTTCACATCTATGCTTTTTTGACTACTGCTGTGTTTTTGGAAAGGGTCAGGGACTTTTTTCAAAGCAAAAAGCAGCATTTTAGCTACACTACACAGTTCAATGGAGAATCTGCTGAAATGCATGGTTGTGTGTTTTTGCCACGTTTATGCTGTGTTTTGCATTTTTATTCTGCCCAGCAGAAAAAAAAATCCACCTTAAAAAAAAAAAAAACTGAACAAATTGCGTCAAAAGCGCGTGTAGAAAAAACGAAACATGAACTGCGAAAAGCACTGCAAAACGAACAAAACTGGTACACATGATGAGACTATCAGACAAATAATTGTCTGGGGTTTTTTTTTTCCATGCTAGTATCATATCGAAAATGAAGAGGTTACTAGAGTTACAAAAATTCTGGTAAAACAGAATACAACTCCCGCAATGACATAATGTATTGTATTGTAATGTATTCTTTCGTTTCTGAGCATGTGTGGTCTCCGGCTCTTGATATTTTTAAGGAGAAATGCTGTACTGATTAACCTCCCTAGCAGTATGATTATGTCCATATTTCTGTGCTGAAAGCAGTACATTTTTTTGCATGGAAATATGTATTTTTTTTATTGTAGGCCTGTAATTTTTAGGAATAACTCACAGAAATCTGTCCGAACAAGAGTCTAATAAACATTCCGGGTAGGATAAATACTTGAAACACAAAATCATGAATTATAATTTAATACATAATCATAAAAAATAATAATATAATAATAATACATTTAATTCAATAATATAATCAAACCAAAAACACTGAAATTTGAAATATAGCGCCAAGTTCGCACATCGCTGAGCAAAATCGCAGAATCGTTTTCAGCGTCTGCTGATGAATTTCCCCACGAATCATTATCACTCAATTCTGCAAGTGGTTCTGATTTACTATCGCTGTTCTCTAGCTGGTCTAAAACCCGCTTTTGACTCAAAGGGACGCTTTTTGGACGCTATGGACTTTTCTAAGTTTCCAGGCAGAAAGAACAGTCAAAATGCAGGCAGGGCACAGGACAAAGCAGTAGGGACAAAATGTATGTGAAATAGTTTGAAACAGTAATGTTTTACTATGTCATATTCGTTTATTAGAAAATGACAGTTTCTAAAATTTTTAAATTTGCCACCGTCCCGTACATACCAACGTTCGCAGGGACCGGAACACGGAAGCCGGATGCCGGCATCGGCCGGAGGAGATGGCCGGGGCCGCTGCAGGGGACGAATCGCAGGAGCGAAGGACAAGGTAAGTGCTGCAGGGAATCCCTGAGCAACGTCGCATGGTAAGCCCGAGTGTAGCTCGGGGTTACCGCTTTTGGTACTGACATTTTACCCCGAGCTACACTCGGGAATACTGCCAGGGAGGTTAAACAAAAAAAAACGTTCGTACTGGTATCGTACAAGAAAAATTTTCATGCTTGATAATTTTGCAAGAACTGTTGTGATCAGCTCTCAAAAGCTGCATACTAACGATCAGATTGTCGGAAGAACGCTCCAAAAGCGGTATTTTTCATCCAATTTTCTCATCGTGTGTACTAGGCTTTAGATTCAAATTAGCTTTTCAAAGGGAGAGTTATTGCTGGAGTCCTTGACAGCAATAAAAGGGGAGAGTTGTCCCTAACTAAGGTCTCGTGCACACTGAGCATTTGTCCAGCTTCTCTGAACACCTTTTTCTCTCGCAGGAGAAAATGTGCAAAAAACGCGCCTAAAGCCGGGTTTTGCAAACGCATTTAGATATGTTTAGGTGCATCAGTCAATATGAATTTGTTCTGCCCATTGGAATGAATGAACACTCAAGCACTACAGTTGTCTAGCGTTTAGGCACGTTTAGATGCATTTACACACATGTAGGCACGTTCAGTGTTTTTTTCTGCTCAAACGCTCTGCTCTTAAACATACATTGATGGGTTTATTTTTTAGCCTCTAAGGCCCCTTTCAAGTCTGTTACTCCGCCAGCAAATCTTCCTGATCAGCGGGGGGATCTGTCTGCTGATCCCCACTGAGTGGATAGATGACAAGTCCTCTCTGCTTATGCAGAGTGGACCTGGACACAGTCCGCTGTTCTCTCTATGGGGTGGTCAGATGTAAACGGACTGCCTGTCTATTTACATCTGACTGTCATCCTATCCGGTCTGCTAGACAGATGGGGAACAGATCCACATCCGTCTGTTTTTAGTGGATCAGATCAGATGCAGGCAGGTGTAAACAGACACATGTCCATTTGCATCCACCGCTCTATAGAGGGCAA